GGCAATCGGCTTCACTGGAATCCTGAAGGATAAAATGAAGGGTTTCTACAGAAGGTGAAGTATTGTAATCATATCTTTTTCGATGCAAAAACTGAACGTGGACGTGATATAATGTCTGATTATCTGCTCTTTTTTTGTGCAGTACCTACGAGCATAATGGTGAGAAGAAGAATATGGCGGTTACACAGTTTGAACCAGCTGATGCTAGGAGATGCTTCCCTTGCTGGGATGAACCTGCTTGCAAGGTTTCTTACCTGTGTTTTTCTCCTCGTCTCTGGTTCACTCCTTAATAATACGTCATCAGTGTCATACACTTGGTCTCTTATAGGTTCCATCTTCTTTCTCATTCTCACCTACACATTGTGCGGCAGGCTACCTTCAAGATCACATTGGACGTGCCTAGTGATTTGGTGTCTCTCTCCAATATGCCAGTCATTGAGGAGAAGGTAAACGGGAATCTGAAGACAGTCTCCTATCAAGAATCACCGATTATGTCAACATATTTGGTAGCAGTTGTTGTTGGTTTGTTTGACTATGTGGAAGACCATACACCCGATGGTAAGTTCATCTTTTCTCTTTTCTTTAAGTCAACTAGCCATTTGTGAATGCTATATATCAATCAATGTCTTTTGGACAGGGTTAAAAGTCAGAGTATACTGTCAAGTGGGCAAAGCAGACCAAGGGAAATTTGCTCTGCATGTTGGTGTCAAGACACTGGAACTCTTCAAAGAGTAGGTCTTTCATAACCACTTAAAAATTTTATACACATACTTATGTTCTGGACTTCACTTACTGCCTGATATACTGTCTTGCTCATACACTAAATCTTTACAGTATTCCCTGCTAAAAAGCTAAGTTTACTTCTTTAGTTACTTTGCTGTGCCATATGCCCTTCCAAAGTTGGATATGATTGCGATTCCGGATTTTGCTGCGGGGGCCATGGAGAACTATGGTTTGGTTACCTACCGTGAAACGGCTCTTCTCTATGATGACCAACATTCAGCAGCTTCTAACAAACAGAGGGTAATTGGAAGCTCTCACTTTTTCTTTAGCAAATGGTGTTATGTGCTTTTCACAACTTTCTAAATGTATTTACTTTCTGCTGCTAGGTGGCCACTGTAGTTGCTCATGAACTTGCCCACCAGTGGTTTGGCAATCTTGTTACTATGGAGTGGTGGACACATCTATGGCTGAACGAGGGTTTTGCTACCTGGGTAAGCGGCAATTTAGGTCTTTGTACTGACAGACTTCTCATATGGTAAATGTATTGTTTACATTTCATTGCATTTTCCTATTCCAGGTCAGCTACTTAGCAATTGATAACCTGTTCCCGGAGTGGAAAATTTGGACCCAGTTTTTGGACGAATCTACTGAGGGTCTTAGGCTAGATGGACTTGAGGAATCACACCCCATAGAGGTAACTAAAATAAGCATAGCCATTGTTAGATTCGATATGCTTTTGAATAGTGCTAGATTTGTGATCTATATATCACGAGAAATTGAGAGTTTTGCTTCCCATTAATCAAAGGTTGGTTTTATACTCTAGAGATATATGCAATCACCTTTTGAATACTAGCCAGAAACGTTTTTCAGGTGGAGATAAATCATGCTGCTGAAATCGATGAGATATTCGATGCAATAAGCTACAGGAAAGGCGCTTCTGTTATCCGAATGCTGCAAAGTTACCTTGGAGCAGAGGTTTTCCAGGTTCTGCTCTCTCGTCTTTTCTTTTGTTGCAAAAGTAATCACAGGACCGTGGCTTTCTGATATTCATCTTTTTGTGGGCTAAATTTATCAACTGAAAACTTTTAAGCACTATGAATTCCATTTTCAGAGCCTCCTTTCGCTTGTCAAGATAAAAGAATAGGACAATACATTGAAAACTTGTAACTCTTCATTTAGAAGAAATAATTTTGGAATCAAATTCATGAGTCATACCATGAAGTTTTGGGAAAGGATTGTGGAGCGACGTTTACGTAGTGATACATCTATTTCCATAAACCAATTTGGTTTTATACCTCAGGTCCACCGGGTGCATGATGTTTGCGGACAATATCATGCTAGTAGATGAGTCCAGAGAAGGAGTAAATAGACAATTAGATTTATGGAGGAGTACATTAGAGGCTAAGGGTTTTAGGTTTAGTAAAAGGAAAACCGAGTAATTGCATTGCGATTCTAGTGAAAGGTGTTCTAGTGAATAGTGATG